GTTTTTTAGAGACAGAGTTTTATTTTGTTGCCCTTGGCAGAGTGCCATAGCATCACAGCTCACAGCAACCTCCAGCTCTTGGACTTAGGCGATTCTCTTGCCTCACCATCCCAAGTAGCTGGGACTATAGGCACCTGCTATAATGCCCAGCTATTTTTTTGTTGCAGTTTGGCCGGGCTGGGTTTGAACCCGCCACCCTTGGTATATGGGCCTGGCGCCCTACTCATTGAGCCATAGGTGCCATGACAAAATATTTTTATCATATTTATTTGCTTTATTTTTTTTGGGGGGGGGGAACAGTCTCACTAGAAACTAGCTCACAGCAACCTCAAACTCCCAGATTCAAGTGATCCTCCTGCCTCAGCCTCCCAAGTAGTTGGTACCACAGGTGCCAGCCTAAACACCCAGATAATTTTTCTATTTTTTAGTAGAGATGGGGGTCTTAAACTCCTGAGCTCAAGTGATCCTCACACCTCAGCCTCCCAGAGTGCTAGAATTATAGGTATAAGCTACCACATCTGGCCATATTTAATTTTGTAAAATACTATGTTCATAGAGGCTTGACAGATTAAGAAACTATCCTCTTGTTGGGTTGTAGGAGGTTTGAAATGGACCGGGAACCTAAGAGTGCCAGATACTGTGCTGAATGTAACAGGCTGCATCCTGCTGAAGAAGGAGACTTTTGGGCAGAATCAAGCATGTTGGGCCTCAAGATCACATATTTTGCACTGATGGAAGGAAAGGTGTATGACATTACAGGTACTCTCCTGTCCTGTAGAAATACGGGCTTAGCTGGGTGTTGTGGTAGATGCCTGAGGTCCCAGCTACTTGGGAGGCTGAGACAAGAGACTCGCTTGAGCCCAAAAGTTGCTGTGAGCTATGACACCATAGCACTCTGAGGGCAACAAAGTGAGACTCTGTCTCAAATAAATAAATAGAAATATGGGCTTATACTTCCAATCTCATATGTGGTCTAAACTGATGTTTTGGCTAATTGTTTGTCTTTTGTTTGCAGAGTGGGCTGGATGTCAACGTGTAGGAATCTCCCCAGACACCCACAGAGTCCCTTATCACATCTCATTTGGTTCTCGGATCCCAGGCACCAGTGGGCGGCAGAGGTAGGTGGTACGTCTGTCAATAATCTATCCACTATTCTGGCTTGAAATCTGCTCTGGTTCAGGACAGCTAGGTGCCTTACTTCTGGGATGTTTGGGAAGTGATTCAGTATATCTTTAACTTAGGTTAACCTTATGATTGTAACATCACTTGACTTAGAATTCTTCTGTTTTCTCTCAGACCTACCCCAGATTCTCCTCCTGCTGACCTTCAGGATTTCTTGAGCCGCATCTTTCAAACACCCCCAGGCCAGATGTCCAATGGGAACTTCTTTGCAGCACCTCAGCCTGGCCCTGGGACCACTGCAGCCTCTAAGCCTAATAGCACAGTACCCAAGGGAGAAGCCAAACCGAAGCGGCGGAAGAAAGTGAGGAGGCCCTTCCAACGTTGACACCCCTTCTCTTCTTTCCTCAAATCAATGTCAGGGAGTCAAAAGGGCTGTGTACAGCACAGGATGGAGTCTGATTTGTTTATTTTTAAATATTTTAAAAAGGGAAAATTTTAAGCTTAAATCATTGCTCAGTACTTGTAGGAAGCACCTGAACCACTCTCCCCTAATACCTAGTAACTGAATCTCGTCTTCTGACAATACCAAAGAAATAGGGAGTGGGTACAGCAAAGAACCTAAGGCTTGGGCAATATATTTGTTTGAGGTGTGGGAACTCGGTATTTCCCTGGGATCTATATACCTTTGTCTCATTATTTGTTTTTAGAACAGATGACACTCTTCTCCCTGTTTTTAAACTATGAGTCTATCTTATTTGTTGACCCATTTCAGAAGGGAGTACCCTCCTTTACCCTGATGTATTTATTAGTTAAAAGACAGAAGAAAGCATGTAGCCCTAATTATAGGAGATACATAAGTTCAGAGAGTAGAAACTGAATTTTCCCTCTGACTTTCACCTTGATATAGATCACCCAATTTCAGGCTTATTGCAGCAAAGATAGCCAAAATTAGTAATTTTTAGAAAGGAGACTCATGCTTGCTGCCCTTGGGTGAGGGAGAAGGATAAGGGGGTTTCCAGAAGCCCCTTTAGGATCCAAGGGTTTGTATTTTTTTAAGTTTGTTCATATTTGTATGTATATATTTATTTAAAGCCAGGGGATTATCTTTCTATAAATATGTAACTGGCAACTTGTACCTTCCCTCTCTTCTTTGCCCATATAGCTGGAGCCCTTTTTCTCATTTGAGAATTCTTTTGAATCCTTTCCCTACTAAATATTATCTGAGAATGAAGGGCACCTCCTACTGGACCAAAGGAGAGGGAGCTAAAAAATTCTTAAAAGTTTTACACAGTAATTCAGTATTCCATCTTTCCTCTCCAGCCTTCTGAGGACATCTCCCAACCCTTCCTGCTTATCAAACTGCAGGCATAACTGAAAATTTTTCTTTATTATAAGGAAAATACACAGTACAACAGCTTGAAGGTGGGAGGGATGGAAGATAGGAAAAAATGTAGCCACCAAACAAGCTGCCCCAAACATGACTTCCTGCAAAAGAGGAGAATGATTTGGCCCTTACCTCATCTGCCTTTCATGATTGAAGGAAACTTGCCCCTAGCAGGACTGGGCCAGGAGCCCCATTTTCCAATCTTTTCCTGGAAGCTTGAAAAAGGTTGTATAGTTCTCAGGCTATCAAGATATAGAAGAAAGTATGGAGAAGAGAAGGATATTACAGCCCCTTGTTCCAGTGCTTTCCCCACACCTATAGAACTGTCCCCAGCCACATCCCTCAGTATTTGTTGATGCCAAAGACACGAACCCCATGGAATTGGGGCAACTTAGGCAGCAGTACACTGAGCAACGAGACTGTGTTGATGAGAAAGTGAGCAGCATCATACTTGGTGTAGAAGCTGGCCAGGAGGTAGCTGGGGAGAAAAGAAAATAGGATGAGTGGGGTTGGCCTTCCTTATCCAGATTCATGCCTTTCTTTCTTTCTTTCTTTTTTGAGACAGTCTCACTATGTCACCCTTGGTAGAGTGCTATAGCATCACAGCTCACAGCAACCTCAAACTCTTGGGCTAAAGTGATTCTCTTGCCTCAGCCTCCCAAATAGCTGGGACTATAGGCGCCCACCACAATGCCCGGCTACCTTTTTGATGCAGTTGTCGTTGTTTAGCTGGCCCAGGTTAGGTTTGAACCCACCAGCCTTGGTGCATATGGCCAGTGCCATATCCACTGTGCTACAGGCACCAAGTCAGATTCATGCCTTTTGAATAGGGTCCAGATAGGGTCTTGCTATGTTGCCTAGGCAAGAGTGCAGTGGCTATTCACAGCCATGATTAAAGTGCACTATAGCCTGAACTCCAGGGGTCAAGCAGTTCTCTTGTTTCATCCTCCTGAGTAACTCGAATTATAGTCACTCAGTAGAGTGGCTGGCTTTTTAAATTTTAAATGACCAGTTTTATTGCATGCAGCCCTGGGCTCTCTGAAAATATTCTGGCTATATCAACAATACTTACTTTAGGGTTCAGGAGATAATCATATAGCACCTTTAACTGGAGATTATCAGTCAGTTTGTGTTTTTTTGTTGTTAATGATATGACAAATGACAGCTGAAGCTGTTTCAGCCTGTATGACTGTTAAGAGTCCTCTTTGCTTCCATTCCCCACAGTGTTTCACTACTAAGGAGGCAGCAGGGATGCTTCATTACAGCACTGTTTTTTTTTTTTGTTTTTTTTTTTTTGTTGAGACAGGATCTTGGTCTGTCACTGGGGCTAGAAGACAATGGTGCCATCATAGCTCACTGAACCTCAAACTCCTGGGCTCAAGCCATCTTCCTGCATTAGCTTCCCGAATAGCTGGACTAAAGGTGTATGCCACTATACTCAGCTAATTTTTCTATTTTTTCGTAGAGATGGGGTCTTGCTCAGGCTGGACTTGAACTCCTCACCTCCCAAAGGGCTGGGATTACAGGCATACGCCCCTGAACCCAGCCCCACTGTGTTCTACTTTTACTGTTTTCTGTAGACTTAGTATGCCATAATATTTTCAAAGATTCTTACTTGGGTAGCCTCCTTTTATAAAGCTTCCCTCTGGGTCTTTCAACCTGGCTCTTGGAGCTCTTTCTAACCCAGCACAGACTCACAGCACAATAGGAGAGATGCTCAGGAACTTGCGGGAAGAGGTAAACTGGAGCCCATAGTCCATCTGCTCCCAGTGGGTCAGTAGCCGAGCCTTTCCTTGGTCAGGGGTCTCAAAAGGTGTCCCTTTCACCGTATGTAGAAAGATATACATTGCCTGGGAAGAGGGAAGGGGGGTGTGAAGGGCAGGATAATAGTTCTTCAGGCCAAGAATTATGCTAATATCCCAAAGGAAGACATAAATCCCCAAACAATTGGTGATTTTATTTTGTTTTTGGTTTGAGAAGAACTAGGGGGTGGGGTACAAGGTGTGGTTTAGTGCTCACCAAGTTATGGATGACGTTGGTCAGGGTCCAGACAACAGGAATGCTGAAGAAGGGGATGCTGAGTAGAACCACATGGAGTAGTCCTACCAAGATGATGTAGGCCAGCCAGATGCCCCGACTATTCATCACTCGAGTGTTGGGGTTTACTTCGCTGTGTGCCACCCCCACATTCATCCTACTATAATGGGTGATCAGGCAGGAGTTCAACTCAGTTTCTTCTCAATCCCTTTTTGATTTTTTTCTTCCAATACTCTCCTGAATAGTCAAAATCCCCGGAATTCTATTGGAATGAAAGAACTTCCCTATCGTGCAGAAATTAAAATCTCAAGATCTGGGGAAACCTTTAACAGGTGGAATAGAAGCGTCCTCACATTTTAGAGACATGATGATTTTTTGGCGGGGGGGGGGGCAGAGTTTCATGTCGCCCTCGGTAGAGTGCTGTAGTATCGCAGCTCACAGCAACCTCAAACTCTTGGGCTTAAGCAATTCTCTTGCCTCAGTCTCCCAAAGTAGCCGGGACTACAGGCGTCCGCCACCACGCCCGGCTATTTTTTAGAGGCAAGGTCTCGCTCTGGCTCAGGCGGGTCTCGAACTCCTGAACTCAAGCAATCCGCCCACCTCGGTCTCCCAAAGTGCTGGGATTACCGGCATGAGGCACCGCGCCCGGCCAGAGACGTGATAATTTTTAATCTTTACACTTCATCTGTAACGTGAATGTGTAAGCCTCGCCTTGGGGCATCCAATTCAAGTAGCAAAGGAGTATCTCACTTTGTTTTCTTGAATAAGTTACTAAGGAATCATGAAGAGGTCACACCCACGGTTCCGGAAGAGAGTCACGAAATCAATCAGGGAACCACCAACAAGAGATAAAAGTAAAGTTACCCTCAGTCCCCACCTTTTCCTCTGGGACCTATCTGGCCTGTCTCCTATGCGTTAGGTAAGCCGTCTACATTCCCGTTCCTTCTTTCAAGCAAGGGGCACTATCTCAACTTGCGCCCGGCTTCTGGACTGGGCTACGAGCGGACTTGAACTTAACACCTCGAGAGAGGGAGCCCTAGCCCTGACTCCAGCTCCGATCGTCTGGACTCTGATCTTTAAAACTGTGCTAGTTTCAAAGCTGATGAAGCTTGGTTAGGAAGTAGTTCTTGCTCGCCCCCTCTTGTGTCTAAAATTCTCTAAATCCTAGTATTGAACTTGCCTTATTTCCTCCCAGTTTCTCTCTTGTTCCTAGGTTCCTTTCAGGTTTCTCTTCAGCACTCCCCTCTCAGTACTTAACTCGCCTCCCACCATTTTTCCTCAGCAACCTCAGTGTCTCGGTAGCCCCTACCTGCCAAATTCAGAAGCCGGTCCGGCCAGGGGCGCGGCGCTCGTTTCCACACCTGTGGTCTCCAGGAAGTCGCCGCTCCATCTGCGCGCTTCTTATTGGTGGAGCAGAATTAGCGCTGCCACCACCCATTGGTTGGTGGTCCATAATGGAGACACATCACTGGCTGCTACTTCTGTCGTTCCGAACATGCAGATCCCGCCTTTCTCCCTGCCCCTCCTTCTGAGAGGGGCGGGGAAAGCTGCCGAGAGGAGGGAGAGCGACGCCAGCGATAAACCAATGGGAAGAGCTGATGGTATGGAGTGAGAGTAAGAGTGACGGCGATTGGTCGGCTGAGGTTCTCCACGTCTAGGCGGGAGCTCCTGGAGGTGGAGGCAGCGGGCGGGGGCCTAGCGGAGTGAGGAGTAACAAGATGGCGGCGGAGACGGTGGAGCTTCATAAGCTGAAGGTACCGTGAGGCAGGGAAGGGTTGAGTTGGACTTTTCTGGCGATTGAATCCTACAGGGTAGCTTGCGCCCTTTTCCCTTAAGAATTCTTCTTGCAGGCCCTTCCACTTCGTTTCCCGGCTTCCGCCGTAGTTCTTTTGTGCCTCCTCCCTCATTACGCCTTCCCTAATCGCCCATTTCTCCTCAACGGTTTTACCGCTATCTTTATCTGTTACTTCTGCCCCCCCTTCATCGTGTGTCGTTCGTCACCTTTCCCCACCGGCTTCTGTAAGTGCTTTTACCTGTGATCTTCCTCCTTTCTCGTCAGAGATGCATTACGTCAAAGATCCCTGCTCTTTGCCTCACGCCAGTCCCAGGGCCTATTTTCTCCCTGGGTTGATGCTTTCCCGTCTGTTGTCCAAAACTCAGATTTTCCTGTTAGCAGGTGATGGCACTTCTGTGTATTTCAATCTGAACAGGCCCCAGATACGATCAAATGCGTTCACTCCCTTTTTCTCGGTGGAGTTTATGTCCTTTAGCCGAATTTCGACCGTGAAGAGGACCCATAGACGCCTAGGGTTGAGGAGCTTTAAGAATTAGAAAAAAGTATAAATACTTAAGATTTCAAAGTTTTTGAAGGTCTTTCACCCGGTTTTCTGCTAGCCAGCTTTCCCTTCACGGCATCCCTACCACCAGAGGGAACTCACAACTGCAGTATTTTGGAAAATAATTCTAAAGTTAGGGTTATTTATCTTTGCCCCATTTCATACCGTGAAGGGACCCTGTATCTTTTGGTGTCTCCCTTGGGTGACACTCTGAATCACAGAAGCTATTTTTAATTGTCTTGGGAATCTTGGCAGCTTTCTCAATGGAAGAAGAGAGTATTATATTTTATGTTGAGTTAAAATGATACCTCGATTTTTTTTGTCTATTTGTGGTTACACAAGTAGTTTTCCCATTAGATGTTTTGGTCCTATCACTCTGGGAACCTTGGACAGACCAGGCTGATTTAGCTGAAACTGAAAACTGATCCTTTAAAACTTGTTGGGCTTAAAAAAAAAAAAAAAAGAACTTAAGGGGAGTAAGGGTATGGAGAGGGCCTTTAGTTAGGCATGTATTAGTTGACACTAATTAGTCTTTCTGTAAAACCTGTTATATTTCTTACTCTTGGATCCTAAATTGTGCTAGTGGGTTTTTGTGTTATTCTGGGTTACGGTTAACTTGTGGTACTGAAATGCATAGACTGTATCCGTGGTCTCCTATTTATTGTGATGAGTAAAAATAAATTGAACAATTGTTTTCATTTTATATCTATGTACTGTACTTATTTGTGTATGTATTATATACTCATGTATTGTGTATGTTATAAAACATACAGAAAAGGAATTTTTTTTTAATGTACTGTTT